GCCTCCTATTGCTGCTGCAAGCTATCAGCGCACCCCTGTACTCCAGCCTGGGTGACACAATGAGACCCTATCTCAAAACAAACAAGCAAAACCTATAATTCAGTAGTTTCTGGACAGAGTGGAGGAGCTGCCTAGCTGGTCTGAAATCTCCATTGGAAGAGTACTAAACACTTTAGGAAGGTCCTGAAGTCTTTCTGGAATGATTACTTGAGAGGTGTCATTTTGAAAGGCACACTGGGTGGAAGTTTACAAAGGGTAAAGAAGCATTGCATACAGTCATATTGAATACTTTATGTTAGAATCCTGTTTAATGTTTATGTTTTTATTTTTTAATGTTTATGTTTTTATATATTGTTTTATTTGATACTTTATAATGTTTGTAAATTTCCACATTTGAAATATGTTTCACTGATTTCTAAACATTGTTATACTTCTGCACACTTTTCAATTAAAATATTAGTATTAATACTTGCATGTATTAATACATGGAGTAAATGCCAAGATACTGGTAGTGCAATTTGCTTTAGAATTATAATTATTACTTTGATTTTTCTGTCATGTTTAATGACAGGTTCAAAGACCATTTAAATTCTTCATTTGGAAGTTTTTAAATCTTAGAAAATTTTGAATCCATGTGTATGAAATTGCAGATAGGAGTTTTTATTGGTGACAGACATGTTCAGCAATAAAACCATCTAACAATGGAAACATTTCTAAACATTTATTATTATACAAAGAGTGTTCTTTTTTTAAAGCAACTACTTTCTCAGGTAATTAAAATACTATCTTTATCTTGAAGGGAGATAAATTAAGTATGTGGGAGGGGGTTGTTTTTAATATCCGCTGTGTACCTATGTAGCATACTATTGACAACTATGTGTCATCATAGAAAAAGTCATCAAATTCGGAGTAGTTGTTTCTTGTAGAAGAAAAATAGGTAGCTTGTTTAAGTTTGCCACAACATAACCGATAAATTTCTGTATGATACAAAAGATTTTTTAGTCTCTCTCAACCTCTCTACTAAATTTTGAAAGGATGTGTCCACTTAAAATCTATTTTTAAAAGTTTATTTTTGATATATCACATGTACAAAGAAGTGCCTCATATATGTACAATTTAAGAAGTATTTATAGGCCAGGTACAGTGACTCATGCCTGTAATCCCAACACTTTGGGAGGCCAAGACAGGAGGATTGCTTGTGCTAGAAGTTTGAGACCAGCCTGGGCAATATGGCAAGACCCTGCCTCTATTTTTAAAATTTTTTAAATTAGCCAGGCATGGTGGTGTGCGCCTGTGGTCCGAGCTACTTGGGAGGCTGAGGCTGAGGCAGGAAACTTGCTTGAGCCCAGATGGTTGAGGCTACAGTAAACCATGGCCTAGACCTCTGGTCTAGGCGATAGAGTAAAACGCTCTCTCAAAAAAGAAAGAAAGAAAGAAAGAATAATAAAGCCAACACCCATCCAAGCAACATAAGGTCAAAACGCAGTTCTCCATGTGTCCTTCACCAAACACATCCCCCATCCTCCCTAGGGATGGCCACTATCTTGACTTTGTATAATAATTTCCCTATGGTTTATAATAGTTTTGTTGTCTGTATATCCGTAAATACTGAATTCAGTTGCACCTGGTTTTGTACTTCATTTGGGGTACAGACCTTCTTAAGAGTGATGACATTGTTGTTAAATTTCAGAGAAGCATAACTGGTCAGTAGGAGGGTAGAGACAGATGTATAAGCCAAAAATTTTTAAGGAATTTAAGGAGTGGAATCTAGAAAAGGTATTAGGTAGAAATAAAGTTTCTCTGTTTATATGTGTATTAAATGAAAATATGAGGCTTGACTCACATTTTAAAATATTTTGTAAATTTTGCTTAATATTGAAAGCATTTTTTCTGTGGCATGACCATAAATATGTATAAGGTAAGATAAATATGACTTCTTTATTTTCAGTGTGGCACAGCTGAACTACATTTCAAATGAGAAGTAATATTGATAGGGAGCGGTCATGTGAACTATGATCAAAAAAAGAAAGCCCAAGTTTCAAAAGTCTTATTCTGAATATTCTCTGTATAGTATTGTTTAATTTTAAAAGTGTTTTCAGATCCAACTAAAGTTCAATTTAAAAATATAGTTTATATTTTTTCTTCTCAAATGAAGCTTTAAGCATATGTTTCTAATAATTCAGTTAAATATGCTGAGTTGTATATTTTTTGAAGAGACTGTTTTGAAAAGATTCCAGAATATTTGTTTGAATAGGCACTCAGCATCTCGATGAAAACTGTTGGAAAAGAAAAACTTTCAGAGTCATTCTGCCCTCAGAGTAGTCAAGCCAACTAAACTGGTGCAGTTAACACTTCTGTGAGAAACCAGGAGCCAAGATATTTAGCACTTCCTGACTGCTTTTCAGCAAGCAGGCCTCAAACCAACTTAGTGGTTGGAACTAATACCATTGAATTTTTAAAGTAAAAGGCTAGCAAGAGAACACCTACATCTCTTTCTATCAGTATGATACTTATCAGTCTCTTTTGGTAATCCATGACTAGCTTCAGTCTTTGCATTATGTTGGTATTAAAGCTATCATTCTTTCTTGAATTTTGTAGGGCATCATTCTTGCGAAGCAAAAAGAATGCACTATAGAGTGTGACCCCAGGTATAATTAAGCCATCTGCCAGATATAAATATTTTTATGTTGCTTTTTAGTACCACTGAGTGTCATAGTAGAGATACAAATTATATTGGACATCATAATGCTTTGGGATAATTGGTAGTTACAGCAGACTACCAAATTTACAAGTAGGGATTGCGTTTTCAGCTTCTGACCCATTCATTTTTATTATATCCCTTTGAAATATATTGACACCACTTAATTCACTTAACAATAATATGCTTAGTGTCTTAGTTCATTTTATACTGCTGTAACAGAATACCTGAGACTGGGTAATTTTAAAAGAACAGAGATTTATTTCTTATAGTTCTGGAGACTGGGAAGTCCAAGGTCAAAGGGCCCACATGTAGGGAGGGACTTCGTGCTTATCACCACATTGTGGAAGGGCCAAAGAGACCGTGAGAGAGAGTAGGGGGAAGGAAGGGAACTGAACTCATTCTTTTACCAGGAACCCACTCCTATGAAACTAACCTGCTCCCAAGATAATGTCATTAATCTGTTTGTGAACTCAGAGCCCGCATGACCTAATCACCGCTTAAAGGTTCCACTGTTGGAACTGTTGCATTAGGGATTTTCTTCCAACACACAAACTTTGGGGGACAAAGCACTAGTATATATGATACGTCATATTGATCCCTATATTCACATATTTGCTCTATAAGTGCTGTATTTACATATTCATTGAATTGACCTATATAGTACCCAGCATATTTAGGTGGTGTGGTAAAGAACAAATAATAAAAGATTCAAAGATTCTGTATGCTAACTAGAGAGATAAAACTAAGTTTAACACCTCTGCTACCGTTTCTCAAATATCACAGAATTAATAAGAAAAATAGCAGAAATTAAATGTTCAGTCACTTGGTTTTTCAAGTACTTCCCACAAGATTAGATTAATGGCTGGGTGTGGTGGCTCATGCCTATAATCCCAACACTTTGGGAGGCGAAGGCAGGCAGATCACCTGAGGTCAGGAATTGGAGACCAGCCTGGCCAACATGGTGAAATACCATCTCTACCAAAAATACAAAAATTAGTCAGGCATGGTGGTGCACACCTGAGTACATGTATTTGTACAACATTATCAAAACAAACGAACAAAGACCTATAATTCAGTAGCTTCTGGACAGAACGGAGGAGCTGCCTAGCTGGTCTGAAACCTGAGTACTACCAGAGTAGTCCCAGCTACTCTGGAGGCTGAGGCCAGAAAATTGCTTAACCCAGGAGGTGGAGGTTGCAGTGAGCCGAGATCGTGCCATTGCACTCCAGCCTGGGCGACAGAGTGAGACTCTGTCTCAAAAAAAAAAAAAAAATTAGGTTAACAGTATCTCCAGAAATGATTACCATATATTACTACATGTTAAGTTTCTTTCAGAACTGTAAGTATAAAGTAGTTATGTGGAACCAATGATAAATATGGATTTTTTTTCTTTATTTGGATCTGTGCCTGAAATGGCAAATTATGTACAATTTGGGGCACAGTGTCACTTATGACTTCAAGGAGTCTAAGAATCAGCAGTCTAAGAATCTTTTATGAAAAGATACAGTCTTTTCATAAAACTCTGCCTGGTCTTTTCATTTTGGATAGTATATTACTGGAAACTTCAGAAGAAAATGAGGGAGTTTCAGAAAGAAACCGAAGAGGTTGGTGACTGAAAAGGATGATTGAACACCAAAATCTGCAGTTGATTAGGATGCAGTCGTGGAAAGGAAGCATATATATAAATAAGAGGGTATGTTACTAAAATCCACAAAAAGTAGAATGAGGCAAAGTATCTCCATTGTCCTGATGTTCCATTTTATACTGATTTGGATAAGTTTCATAAGGGATCTGATAGTTGAGGTCACTAATCCTTAATACATGAACCAAGGAATAAGAATTCTGTTTATCATACGAAATAGTTTTGGCCCATAAGGAAGGAGTAGAGACTCTTCAGGAGAGGGACATTTTAGTCCATAATTTCTCTGATTTAGTGCCAAAAGCTTTTTTGAGAGACTATTCAAAGCTGTCTTAAGTTTCATTGTTGGAAACTGATAGCTGCTATATTTCTTTTTAATAACTGTTTTGAGTTCTTTCTGTTTTGTCTTCTCTGATGCTAAATTCCTGAAGATTAAAAAAGTGTGCTTAAAGTAAAAGTGTTATGAGACAAAAGCTTTATTCTGTGGATAGGATAATACTTCTTTTGTGACATTTTCTTTTTGCACCAAAAGTGAGAAGTCAATGCCTTGCCTTTGTGCATCCCATTACTAATGTAGGACAAGAAGTTATTTTCTTCAAAGGCTGACTTCCAGAATTTTTGGCTGAACACTTTTTGTCAAGTGTATATTCCCTTCTGTAGGCCTTTCTATATAGAGCCCACAAACATCGTGAATGTGAATCATGTCATTCAGAGGGTTAGTGACCATGCCTCCGCCATGAACAAGAGAATTCATTACTACAGCCGGCTCACCACTCCTGCAGACAAGGCACTGGTAAGAGACAAAACATTACTAATAGTCTAAAATTCAGTTGAAATGAACAGTGAACAATATAAGCCAGGGCACCTCCCAGTGATTGAACTTTTTTCTGACTGTATTTCAAGGACAGCATCATGCAAAGTCAAAGACAGTAATTAATACACTTCCTACATCTCAGGCCAGTTCATTCTTATCTAAATTTGACACAATCTTTCTGTGTTGACAACAACCTGGAGATTTTTTTGGAAAATTCCCCTGATCCTCATGCCCCAAATCTCTGAGGAGGATAAATTACTTTTGAAATGGCAGGTTAGGCCATTGACTAATAGCAAATAATAACAGGTTCTGCTTAGTGTGGTCAATTTTTAACTTTGAAGCTACAAGGGAAATAGTTTTTTAGAAATTTTCTACAAGAATGGGAAACTGGCCGAGCACAGTAACTCACGCCTGTAATCTCAGCATTTTGGGAGGCTAAGGCAAGAGGATCACTTGGGCCCAGGAGTTCAAGACCAGCCTGGAGAAGATGGTGAAACCCTGTCTCTACAAAAAAAAAATTTTTTAAATTAGCCAAGTGTGATGGCTCGCACCTATAGTTCCAGCTACTTGGGAGGCTAAGACAGGAGGATCCCTTGAGCCCAGGATGGATCCCTTGAGGATGCAGTGAGCTGTGATTGTGCCACTGCATTCTCCTGAGCGAGAGAGTGTGACCCATCTCTTTTTTAGATGGTGTGTCGCTCTATCACCCAGGCTGGAGTGCAGTGGTGCGATCTTGGCTCACCACAACCTCTGCCTCCTGGGTTCAAGCCATTCTCCTGCCTCAGCCTCCCGAGTAGCTGGGATTACAGGTGTGTGCCCTCACGCCTGGCTAATTTTTGTCTTTTGAGTAGAGACGGGTTTCACCATGTTGGCCAGGCTGGTCTTGAACTCCTGACCTCGTGACCCACCCACCTCGGCCTCCCAAAGTGCTGGGATTACAGGCGTGAGCCTCTGTGCCCAGCCATGTGACTCCATCTCTTAAAAAAAAAAAAAAAGGGAAACTGAAATACGTACATACATAAATATAGTAGTTTCTTATTTAGCATTATTCTTTTATTGATCAAAACCAAGAGTCAAAGGGCCAGATACTAAATGTCTTAGACTTTGAGGTCACATACTGTCACATGATATTCTTCATTTTATGATCATCAAAATTATAAATTAAAAATTTATAAAATTATAAAAACCATTCTCAGGAAAGAGGCTATATAATAATCAGGTTGAAGCCAGATTTGGCCTAGGAGCCAGAGTTTGTTGACCGTTGATCTTCTAAAAATCTCTATTACTATTTTAGGATAAAAAATATGTAAATAATTTGGTAGTTTATAAAAACTACCACATATGGGATATTCAGAAACTTACAAGTTTAACTGAAAATGAGAACATTCTGGGAGAAAATAGGATTTTAAAGTTAGTATTATTAATAAAAAGAGAACCAACATTCATTAACATTTAATAAGGACCAGTGATTGGGCATCACTGGAATGTAGCTATCTCATTTAAGCCTAAACAATAGCTATGTGAAATAAATATTAAGATTTCCTCTTGCATGGCCAAAATAGGGATTTCCAAAATGTTCTAGGTAGGGTAATTTTTTTCTCAATTTTTTTTTGGCTTTTTCCCCTTAGGCCTTGACATTAGTAGTTGTGGTAAAGTCTTAGTTGCATAATGGAATTACCTAAGCCCTTGGAGAAGTAGAGGTAATCCAGTATCTCTGGGTCTAGTTGAGACCTTCTAGAGGCTCTGCTCTTGGAAACAAACCCCTGAGATCTCAGCTGAGCACGTTTATACTTGAATGTATATTGTTTGCCTGGAGATAGAGTCAGCATGTGCACCAAAGTTGAATGCCGTTTGTTAACTGACGCTGAGATGAGTCTAGCAAGTCAAAGTATGTAAACAGTGATATAAAATTAACAATGATATAGCCATTCTTAATGAATGTGTGTATACATCCACACTCGTTTTCTGAAAATCCCAAATTATTTTGGATTTTTAAACTCTTGCTTTTTTAGTTAGATTTTCTATATTTGAAAAAGAATTTTTTAATTCACTAATCAGTGATGCATAGTACTTGCATCCACACTCGTTTTCTGAAAATCCCAAAATTATTTTGGATTTTTAAACTCTTGCTTTTTTAGTTAGATTTTCCATATTTTAAAGAGAACTTTTTAATTCCCTAATCAGGGATGCATAGTACTTGTTTATGATAGTTAAAATGTGTCTAGAGGGCCAGGCATGGTGGCTCACGCCTATAATCCCAGCACTTTGGGAGGCTGAGGCGGGTGGGTCATGAGGTCAGGAGATCGAGACCATCCTGGCTAACACTGGGAAACCCCATCTCTAAAAAAAATACAAAAAATTAGCCAGGCGTGGTGGCGGGCGCCTGTAGTCCCAGCTACTCGGGAGGCCAAGGCAGGAGAATGGCATGAACCTGGGAGGCGGCACTTGCAGTGAGCCAAGATTGCATCACTGCACTCCAGCCTGGGCGACAGAGCAAGACTCCATTCAAAAAAACAAAAAAAAAAGGTGTCTAGAGTCAGGTGATGTGATGTGTAGAAAATATCCCATTTTGCATTTCCTGGTTCTGACATTTCTCTATGTTTCCTTTTTACCAGATTGCCCCAGACCATGTAGTTCCAGGTCCAGAAGAGTGCTATGTGTATAGCCCATTGGGCTCTGCTTATAAACTTCAAAGTTACACTGAAGGATACGGTAAAAACACCAGTTTAGTAACCATGTGAGTGAAATGGCTTTTTGGAGCATGACTTAAACTGTATGTGAATGAAAATTACTGGTTATTTTTTGTCTCAATTAAAATGTTTGAAGAGTCAAACTCCATTTTTTTTACTGCTATTACTCTGTGTTTTCAGTTTTATGATTTGGAATACCATGATGGGAACATCTATACTAAGCATTCCTTGGGGCATAAAACAGGTAATACTAATTTTTCAGCACACTTTTTGCCTAAATGATTTTCTCTTTATATTGCAAGTTTTATAACAGAGGTTTTAATGAATCTACATAAAATTCATGAAAGAAAATAGATGGTTATATTTAGTTTTTCATGAGTTGTCAAGTTTTTACCATGATTGTTTAGGGTAAAATAATTGCATATGAATTTGTGCTTACATGATGATGTATGCTGTTTTATACTTTTATTTTTAAACAGGCTGGATTTACTACTGGAATGTGTGTCATCATACTGATGGGCCTTTTAACACTTTATTGCTGCTGCCGAGTAGTGAAATCACGGACTATGATATGTAAGAATTTGACACAGTGACAATAGATTATGGGTATTAATAAGCATTTCCCTTTGAGGCAGGTCACTAGTGTGTATATGCCACATGTGCGTCAACTGTCTACTTTGTACCTAAAGATTTACTTCTGTAATTCATTGCTTTCAGCTAAATTGAATTTGTTAATAATATATTAGTGGCTGCCTTTGAAATTCAGAGAAGCTGGGAGTTACTTGCAGAGAGCATTCACTGTGGTGCTAGTTTCTTCATAAGAATCATTTAAAAACTCATATTTATAAAATAATGTCTTTGCTAGAACTAAATTGAGAATTCTATGCTTCCTGTCAGTTAATGGTGACTTGTTTTTACCTATTGATACCAAAAGATCTAAATGTTAGAATCTCCTAAATATGAAAATGTAAGCAACTCTCTAGTAATGAATATTTGAAGTTGTGTGAACACCTTACCTCTACTCATATCTACATATTCTGGATCAGGGAAATATATTTTTAGGTTGTTTTAAAGTAGTCTAGGACCTAAACAAACATGCATTATTTCATTAAATCTTAGCAAGTATGAATCAACAGACCAGACTTTGCCTCCAGTTTTTTTCTGTGCCTACTAAGCAGCTTTCTTCTTTATGTTAACCAGATCTAGTGTTAGTCACTGGGCGAGTATTTGTTTAAAAGTCTTGAGAAGCCAGACCTGGTGGTGTGTGCCTGTAGTCCCAGAAACTCAGGAGGCATAGGTGGGAAGATCACTTTAGTCCAGGAGTTTGAGGCCAGCCTTGGCACTGTAGCAATACTCCATCTTAAAAAAAAAAAAAGAATAAAAAAGTCTTGAGAGAGGATTCATTCTGGTTTCTAAATGGTAAAAGGAGATAATTTTAGCCTCTGGTTTCTAAGGCAAATTGTGGCTAAACTTGGAAGACTTCTTTAAACATATATAGTAAGTTCATATCTTATCTAATTCAGCATCTAATTTAAAATTGGGACAGAGCCCCCAGAGAGTTCTCTCTATAACTTTTTTCTTTTCTTTTCTTTTCTTTCTTTTCTTTTTTTTTCTTTCTGAGACAGGGTCTCACTCTGTCACCCAGGCTGGAATGCAGCAGTGCTGTCACAGCTCACTGCGGCCCGGACCTCCCGGGCACAGGTGATTCTCCCACCTCAGCCTCCCGGGTAGCTAGGACTACAGGTGCATGCCATCATGCCCGGTTAATTTTTTGTGTTTTTCATAGAGACAGGGTTTCACCATCTTGCTCAGGTTGGTCTCAAACTACTGGGTTCAAGTGATCTGCTCACCTCAGCCTCCCAAAATGCTGGGATTATTGGCTGTATAACTGTTAACTCCCATGTTATTAAATTATTCCACACCATTTAAAAAGAAGAGAGGCTGAGGCCCAAGAATTGCTTGAACCCAGGAAGTGGAGGTTGCAGTGAGCCAAGATTGTGCCACTGTACTTCAGCCTGGGTGATGGAGTGAGACTCTGTCTCAAAATAAAATAAAATAAAACAAAATAAAAATCTTCCACCAATTCAGTTTACAAAGTCCACACACCCATAACACAAAGCCTGACATGACCGAAAATAAAGAAAATAATATATAGATGTAAAATTTATTTGTAAAACATTATCATATAGAATCCAACAGCATATCAAAAGAATATCCTGTGTGTAAGATAAGGTTTATTCCAGTAATGCAAGAATGTTTCATTATTAAGAAATCCAACATAATTCACTACATTAACAAATTAAAGGAAAATTGATAATTGCTTCAATAGCTATCAAAAAGGTACTTAATAGAATTCAGCACCTGTTTCTGATTAAAACTCTAAGTGAAAAGCACTACTTAAAAATAACAAAGTCTATTTATTCCCAGACAAGTACCAGCACCATTCTAAAATCATGAAATGCTAAAGCAGTTTTCATTAAAGTCAAGAAAACATAGAAATGTTCAAAATTAATCAGTTTTTTTGGAGATATTGTCAAATGCAGCAAAAAAAAAAAAAAAAAAAAACCCTAAATATAAAAACTAGAAAAGACTTAGAATTATATTATCAGTCAAAAGATAATTTTATTAGAAATGCTAAGAGTCACTCAGCTCACTGCAACCTCCTCCTCCCAGATTCAAGCAATTCTCATGCCTCAGCCTCCCCTGTAGCTGGGACTACTGGCACCCACCACCATGCCTGGCTAATTTTTGTATTTTTTTTCTTTTTCTTTTTCTTTTTTTTTTTGAAACACAGTCTCATTCTGTCACCCAGGCTGGAGTGCAGTGGCAGGATCTGCAAGCTACGGCTCACTGCAAGCTACGCCTCCTGAGTTCACGCCATTCTCCTGCCTAAGCCTCCCAAGTAGCTGGGACTACAGGTTCCTGCCACCGGGCCTGACTAATTTTTTGTATTTTTAGTAGAAATGGGGTTTCACCATGGTCTCGATCTCCTGACCTCGTGATCCACCCGCCTCGGCCTCCCAAAGTGCTGGGATTACAGGCATGAGCCACCGTGCCCAGCAATTTTTGTATTTTTTGTAGAGATGGTGTTTCGCCATGTTGGCCAGGCTGGTCTCAAACTTCTGACCTCAAGTTGATCCACCTGCCTCGGCCTCCCAAAGTGCTTACAGGCATGAGCCACTGCACCCAGCCAAAACAGTTATTCTTTATAGTGATATTGTCCTCACATTCTTTATCTAGATGTGAATTATATTCTAATGTCCCCAACTTTTCAGGCTTATCACTGCTTTCTGCCATGTACTAGCTGCCATATTTTGCTTCAAAGATGGCAGAACTTCAGTTTTTCCGTATTCATCAACCATGACAATTATTTCAAAGTAGTTCAAAGCATGGGATCATAGAGGAAAAAAGACTGTACAATTATCCTTTGATGACAATTAATATACTCTTTCATAGGTTATACTTATCTATATTCTTTCTTGAACGTTGAAATGTAAAACACAAAGTTTATATTGTTAATATAATAACCCTATCATGGAAAAGCAAATGGTTTTAGTTTTTTGTTTTCTTATGTAAATTTATATCCTAAATGATAGGAATCTCTAAATACATGCTTTTTAAAGTTAATCATATTGTATTTTAGTTGTCTTCTACTTTATTACCTATTTTTTAGTACATGTTATGTTTCTACAATCACCATTTGTGTCTCTTAATGATTGTATACAGTTGCACATGGCAGCTCTATTGTATTTGTTTAATCATTGCCCTATGTCGTATGTTAAAGTCATTGCTTGTTTTTGCTATTCTCAAGAATACTCTTCTAAAAATATTTTATATATACTTTCTGTATTCTTTTAAATTACTTTCTTTTTGGTGCAGTGGTGGGATCATGGTTCACTGCAGCCTCAACCTTCTGGTCTCAAGGGATCCTCCCACCTCAGCCTCCTGAGTAGCTGGGACTACAGGTGCACGCCACCACACCTAGCTAATTTTTGTATTTTTGTAAATATGGGATTTTGCCATGTTGCTCAGGCTGGTCTCCAACTCCTAGGCTCAAGCAGTCTGTCCACCTCAGCCTCTCAAAGTGCTGGGTTTATAGACCTGAGCCACCATGCCCAGCCCTCTTTGTCTTTTTCATTGTAATTTGTTTCTTCAGTTGCTAGGAGAGGATAACCTTTCATGTTCTATTTCTACATTATGTTTTTTAACTTTTTTGTTATTTAATTTCTTTTCTTTTCTTTCAGGGTTTTTTTTTTTTTTTTTTTTTGGGGTTTTTTTTTTTTTTTTTTTTTGAGATGGAGTCTTGCTCTGTCATCTAGACTGGAGTACAGTGGCATGATCTCAGGTCATTGCAACCTCTGCCTCCCAGGTCAAACGATTCTCACGCCTCAGCCTCCAGAGTAGCTGGGACTACAGGCGTGCCACTATGCCCAGCTAATTTTTTTGTGTTTTTTGGTAGATATGGGGTTTCACCATGTTGACCAGGCTGATCTCAAACTCCTGACCTCAAGTGATCTACCCACCTCGGCCTGCGAACGTTCTGGAATTATAGACATGAGCCATCACGCCCAGTCTGTTTGACTCAGTTTTCTGAAATTTATATTGGCATGTGGTAGAAAGTGTGACTCAAGAAACTTTCCCCAATGTTGTTGTTCGAATATGCCCAATATTACATAATATTTTCTGGCTCTTACTGATGTATTTGTCTAACCTTAGTTTATTACTTGCTTTTATTAATTTTAAAATGTTATGATACTGTAATCTGTTTCTCAGGTTACCTGTACTATTTTATTTACATTTCTTTTTTTATTTTTCTATAATGTTTTAATTTTATTATCTCATAATATATTCTAATGTCTAGCGATAGAATACCCATAATATTTCGCCAAATATTTTGAGTTTATTTGGGGAACACAGATTATGAATATGGAATATATGTTCAACATTTAGTTTTATTCTTTCTCTTACTTTATCTAGCTTCGTTGGATACCACTACCTGGGAATATCCAGATGTCTGCAGACATTATTTCGGCTCCTTTGGGCAGTGGTCGAGTCTCCTTTTCTCCTTGGTGTCTCTCATTGGAGCAATGATAGTTTATTGGGTGCTTATGTCAAATTTTCTTTTTAATACTGGAAAGTTTATTTTTAGTAAGTATCTATATCATATGCTTTTAACACAGTACTTTCAAATGCAATTACCACTGTAATGTTAGTTCTAGCCTTAAATTCTAGGACTTGGGATAAATAAAATAAGAAGTAACATATATAATTTTGGAAAATATATTTTATTCAGTTTGCTTTCTGTGGTTGTGATCTCAAATATAGTGTACACTTATTTCCAAACATTAATCTTTGAATGAATAATATTCCTCCAAAATCTTTAGTTAATATAAAATATGTCTATAATCCAGCAGATCTTTTAAGTTTGTTTCACTAAAGAATTTGATATGTAGACTCTAGGGGAAACAAATTTCAGCCACTTATTTTCAACACATTAGGATGTAAGATTAGGAAGTCAAAGAATAATGGAATTTATGTGATAAATATGTTATTAATATTTATATATCACAGAATTATAATTTACCTAAATCAGCTACTTAAATTCTGAAGAGAATCTTAGAAATCAGTCCAAATACTTTTTATAATTTTTTTTAGGTTGGATAGAGGAAGTTCATTTTTTTACTTAATGAAATTTTTTTTTTTCTTTTTTTGAGACAGGGCCTTGCTATGTTGCCCTGGCTGGTCTCAAACTCCTGGGCTCAAGTGATCCCCCCACCTCAGCCTCCTGGTTACAGGCTCATGCCATTGTACTGAACTGGAAGTTTATTGTATAAGATACCAAACCTTTTTCCATATAAAGGTTTTACTAAAGTTTTCACTAAACCTAAAGTTTAATGTATGTTTAGCAGCTTTAAATAAACATATATTTAAAATCTGGATTTATGTGAAAACCAAATTTCAAAATAAGTCCTAACATAATCACAACAGCTAATTTACCTAAGAGTCTTTGAATGAGGGAGATAAATTCTGTTTTATTTTAAACTTTAAAGAATAAAATTAACTTTATAATTTTTATTGCCAAGCATTTTTATTGTTTTTTTGGGGTTTTTTTGAGACGGAGTCTTGCTCTGTCACCCAAGCTGGAGTGCTGTGACACAACTTGGATCACTGCAACCTCCACCTCCCAGGTTCAAGTGATTCTCCTGTTTTGGCCTTCTGAGTAGCTGGGATTATAAGCGCCCATGATAATACTCAGCTAATTTTTGTATTTTTAGAGATGGGGTTTCACCATGTTGTCCAGGCTGGTCTCAAACTCCTGACCTCAAGTAATCCTCCCACCTCGGCCTCCCAAAGTGCTGGGATTACAGGCATGAGCCACCACGCCTGGCCTCAAGCGTCTTTATTGTTTTTAAAGAACTATGAAATATTTCAAACTACAAAAAAATGCAAAAGCTAATATAAATACCAGTATACTGACTAATGAGTTTTCGGGTCTCATTTGTCTTATTTTTATTAGATCTCTTTTTTTTTTTTTTTTGGTAGAGACAGAGTGTCAGTATGTTGCCTAGGCTAGTTTCTACCTCCTGGCCTCAAGCGATTCTCCCATCTCAGCTTGCTAAGTGGCTTGAATTATAGGCATAAGCCAGGTGTGGTGGCTCATGCCTGTAATCACAGCACTTTGGGAGGACGAGGCGGGTGGATCACCTGAACTCAGGAATTCGAGACCAGCCCGGCTAACATGGTGAAACCCCGTCTCTACTAAAAATACAAAAATTAGCTTGGTGTGGTGGCGCATGCCTGTGATCCCAGCTACTTGGGAGCCTGAGTCACGAGAATCTCTTGAACCTGGGAGGCAGAGGTTGCAGTGACTGAGATTGTGCCACTGCACTCCAGCCTGGGCAACAGAGCAAGACTCCATCTCAAAAGAAAAAAAAAAAAAATTATAGACACAAGCCACTGTGCTTAGTTAGTTCTGTATTCCTATAAAAAGAAAATATTATGGATAGTGTGGAAGTCCCACATGCACTCCTTCTCCATCTCATTTTCCTTCTCTTAATTTGGTGTTTATCAATCCCATGCACTTTTTGGACTTTCACTGCATGAATATAAGAGCAACATATACTATTTGGGGGGTTTTTGTTTTGTTTTTTGGGGGTTTTTTGTTTTGTTTTTTTGAGATGGAGTCTCACTCTGTTGCCAGGCTGGAGTGCAGTAGTGAGATCTCAGCTCACTGCAATCTCCACCTCCCAGGTTCAAGCAGTTCTCCTGCCTCAGCCTCCCGAGTAGCGGAGGTCACAGGTGTGCACCACCACACCCAGCTAATTTTTGTATTTTTAGTAGAGACAAGGTTTCACCATGTTGGCCAGGATGGTCTCTATCTCCTGATGTCATGATCCGCCCACCTCAGCCTCCCAAAGTGCTGGGATTACAGGTGTGAGCCGCGGCGCCAGGTGGCTTGTTTTTAATCTACGCAAATGCTTCTGCAACTTGCTTTCTGTCTTTCATCATCTCTATTAATACACAAAGTTCATTCTAATTGTTTGTAGTATTTAGTAATATGAATATACAACTTTTTTATCTGTTCTCATTGATAAACATTTAATTTGTTTTCACTTATTGTGCAAGGCTTTATTAAACATTCTTATTTCTGTCTCCTTGTGTACATGGCGGGGAGTTTCTCCAAGCTATGGACCTTATAGACACATTTCTGGAACTTAAGATATTCACCTTTTCAACTTGACTTGAAATTGCAGAATTGTTCTTTATCATGCTTGTACCACTTAACACTCCTGCCAACAGTTTATGAAAGTTCCCCTTATTCCACATCCTCACTCACACTCAGTATTATCAGACTTAAATTTTGCCATCAGGATGTGGTTTTAATTTGCATTTCTCCTCATAAGGAGTGGCATTAATCATCTTTTCTTAACTATATTGACCATTAAATAGCTTATTCATATCCTTTGCCCATTTTTCTATCAGGTTATTGGTCCTTTTCTTACCTATAGGAACTCTGTAAAGTTTGAATACTAACCTTTTATCCATTATTGTGTTGCAAATATCTTCTAATTAGTGACTTGTCTTCTCTTTTTATATGGTAGCTCTATGTTATTCAAAAGTTTTTTATTTTAAAATTACTGTTTTTCTCCATTATGATTCACAACTCTTCCATATACATTTTAGAATCAACTTATCAAGTTCCACAAAATTCCAATCAGAATTTGATTGGAATTGCATTGATTTTATCAGTTGGTACACAGTACAGTAATTGATATCGTTGCATATTGAGTTAGAATTTGATTGACATTGCATTGGATTTATTGATGTGGAGAGAATTTATATCATTTAGATACTGAGTCTTCCTATTCATGACTTTGGCATGGCATAGTTCTTTGTTTATTGAGGTTTTCAAATTTTTTTTTGATAAAGATCTTACATATCCTTTTTTTGTGGACTTTTTCCTCGGGATCTTAACATTTTTCTGTAACTATAGTTTAGTATACAAATACGCAGTATTTATTATAAAAAAACTGCATATTTTTTATAATAAAATATAAAAAATCTCAAACACATACCAAAAAAACAGAATAGTATAATTTCTCCTTACCTAGTTTAAACAGTTATCAACATTCTGTCATTTTAAAATCATCTGTAGTAGTGTTTTTCAACCATTTTTTCATTATTGTCCCTTCAAGGAGCCTTTTAGATATTTTTTTCTGATCACCCCTCCCATGAAATTTTAATACCAAAGATATACTATAAATCTCTTTATGAACTGTATACATATATATGCTTTATCTGTAAGAAGAGTTTCTTTCACCCCCTAAGAATGAATTTTGTCCCTTTTGAGACTAACATCACATCCATTAAGAAGACATAAACCATGCTACTCCCACTCCCCACCTAGTTCAACTATTAGTATATATATAGTGCTTCTTTTAGATAGAATTTACTCATTGAAATAAACAAGTCTTAATTATGCATACATACATCTATACAACCCACACCTCCTTCAACAAATAGAACATTTCCATCTTCCCAGAAAGCAATGATATATTTTTTATTATACAGTCAAATTATTTGTTGCTGTTATAAAATAACCTAATTACATTTTGAATTTTTTTTTTTTTTTGAGACAGGGTCCCACTCTTTCACCTAGCCTCTGGGGTGCAGTGGTGTGATCACAACTCACTGTAGCCTTGACCTCTCCAGGCTCAGGTGATCCTCTCACCTCAGCCTCCCGATCTAGCTGGGACTACAGGCAAATACCACCACCATGCCTGGATAATTTTTGTATTTTTTGTAGAGACAGGTTTCGTCATGTTGCCCAGGCTGGTCTTGAACTCCTGAGTTCAAGTAGTCTGCCCGCTTTGGCCTCCCAAAGTGCTGGGATTACAGTCATGAGCCACCGTGCCCTGCCCCTTGAATGTTTATCTTGAATCTAGCAAACTTACTGAACTCCTACTGATTCTAAAAATTTTGTAGCTGGGCATGATGGCTCACGCCTGTAATCCCAGCACTTTGGGAGGCCGAGGTGGGTGGATCACGAGGTCAGGAGATCGAGACCATCCTGGCCAACACAGTGAAACCCTGTCTCTACTAAAAATACAAAAAAATTAGCCAGGCTTGGTGGCTGGTGCCTATAGTCCCAGCTACTCGGGAGGCTGAGGCAGGAGAATGGCACGAACCCGGTGGGGCAGAGCTTGCAGTGAGCGGAGATCATGCCACTGCACTCCAGCCTGGGTGACACAGTGAGACTCCGTCTCAAAAAAAAAAATAGAAATAAAAAATAAAAATTTTGTGGATGCACTTTGTATTTCCTATTTAAATAATCATATCATCTGTGAATTTAAAAAGCTTTCTGGCTGGGCTTAGTGGCTCACGCCTATAATCTCAGCACTTTGGGAGGCCAAGGCAGGCAGATCACCTGAGGTCAGGAGTTTGAGATCAGCCTGGCCAGCACAGCGAAACCCCATCTCTACTAAAAGTACAAAAATTACCCAGGCGTGGCGGTGGACCCCTGTAATCCCTGCTACTCAGGAGGCTGAGGCAGGAGAATTACTTGAACCTGGGAGGTGGAGGTTGCAGTGAGCCATGGTCGTGCCACTGCACTCCAGCCTGGGCAACAAGAGCGAGACTCCATCTCAAATAAAAATAAAATAAACCTTTCCAGTTATTTTTTAATAGTTCATATATGTATACATACATTTATATTTATAGACATGTAATTATATATACATACACAGATACATATAAACGTGTGTGTATCTATATGTATATGTTGATGGTTTTTTTTTTTTAAATGTGAAGTTGCATTGAAGCAGTGCCTGCAGATATTCTTATATTGTTCATAAGGAAATCTTTCTAATGTTTCACAATATTATGTTTGTTGTGGGATATCAGTTGTACCCTTTAATTATTTAAAGACACTTCCATCTGTTGTCTTATTAAGCATTTTTATTAAAGTGGTTGAATTTTATCAAGTACTTATTCTACATCTCTTGAGATAATCAAAATATACTAAGAGACAATCAAGAGATTATCTTAATTAAATTTTCTCCTTTATCAATATGATGAATTAAATGAATACAGTTTGTAAAATTTAAAGCATCCTTGTATTGTGGGGTAAACTTAGTCATGACATATATTTTTCAAATGCCTGACTGGATTGAGTTTGCTTTTTTTAACATTTGTTTAGACCTTTTGTGTCTTTTCCTAACAAATATTGGCCTGTGGTTTTTTTTTTCATGCTGTCCATGAGCCTTGGTGTGTTAGTTTCCCAAGGGTGCAGTAACAAATTACCATTAATATGCTTACAACAACACGGATTCTTTCATAACTATGGATACTAGAGATGTGAAATCAAAGGGTGAACAGGACCCTGGTCCCTCCTAAGGCTCTAGGGAAGAATCCTTCCTTGCCTCTTCCTAACCTTTGTTGGTTGCTGGTGGTCTCTGGCATTCCTTGGCAAGTAGGTGCATCACTCCAGTTTCTCCCTCCTTCTTCACATGGCCCTCTTCCCTCTGTGTGTCTGTGTCCAAATTTCCCTCTTCCTATAAATTGGGCTGGGTACGGTGGCTCATGCCTGTAATCCAGCACTCTGGGAGGCCGAGGCAGGTGGATCACCTGAGGTCAGGAGTTTGAGACCAGCCTGGCCAACATGGCGAAACCCTGTCTCTACTAAAAATACAAAAATTAGCTGGGTGTGGTGGCAGGTGCCTGTAATTTCAGCTACTCGGGAGGCTGAGGCAGGAGAATTTCTTGAACCTGGGAGATAGAGGTTGCAGTCATGCGACTGCACCCCAGCCTGGGTGACAGCAAGATTCTGTCTCAAAAAGATAAAAATAAAATAAAAGACATCATTCACTGGCTTTAGGGCCCACCCTAATCTATTATGACCTCATCTTAACTTGATTATATCTACAAAGACTCTATTTTTAAAAAGGTCACATTCTGAGGTTTCTAGTGGACATAAAATTGGGGTAAGAGGAATGCTATTTAACCCAGTACACTTTGTGTCAAGATTTTACTAGCCTTGTTGTAAGTCTTTGGCATCAAGAAATTACGCAAAGATTCATAAATTCCAATCTTAAATCATAAACAACCCTTGGAGATATTATAAAAACCCAGAGTACTACACTGTTTTTTTTTTTAATTCTATCTTGAGAAACATACAGTGAATATGAATAATTCAACTATTTAACTTAGTTTTATGACCTTAAAACCTAACCCAGCACCTTTTACTATCTTATTCAAGTTTCACAACAAATACTTTTATTAATGCTTACTCAGGTTATAGAAGGTTAATATCAAACAGAATAAAGTAAATCCCCTGAGGCAAGTAAACACATTCTCTGCCTGTTCTCTCTTTCACTGTAGAATGATGAATGCTCAGCCATCTGCATGTGCTTTATTCTTTGTTACTTCCTTTAGTCTAATTCAGTGGTTGTTTATGTGCATAACAATTCGTATATGGCCTTAGATCTATAAAAGTATGTATTGTACTTTGTTAAAAAAAACTTTAATTGATTTTCCAGATAAGGTTAGCTGTGTATGAGTGTTGGTTTCCCCTTTTTGCACACTTTAGAACTGTACTCTATGTGAGATGTAACTTCCGTGTGAGTATAAAAGAAAACTTACATACATATCTTTATTCCGGGGCTTTAAACGATCATTAATTCAGTGTTGTGGATAGGTTTTTCTGAAATCTTCAATTATGTAAAGATTTTCCACAGTGGAACTGTGAAGCCATTAAGATTATCATGCCTGGCCGGGCGCGATGGCTCAAGCCTGTAATCCCAGCACTTCGGGAGGCTGAGACGGGTAGATCACGAGGTCAGGAGATCGAGACCATCCTGGCTAACACGGTGAAACCCCGTCTCTACTAAAAAATACAAAAAACTAGCCGGGCGAGGTGGTGGGCGCCTGTAGTCCCAGCTACTCGGGAGGCTGAGGCAGGAGAATGGCGGGAACCCGGGAGGCGGAGCTTGCAGTGAGCTGAGATCGCGCCACTGCACTCTAGCCTGGGCGACAGAGCGAGACTCCGTCTCAAAAAAAAAAAAAACCTTTATCATGCCTATAAATGAAGAAAACTGTAGAAGGTGAAGCTATGTTAACAGTGAAGTAGTCTTGGTTCAGTGTACTAGATTACTACACAGATATTAAAAGATTTTTATAGGCTGGGCGCGGTGGCTCATGCCTGTAATCCTAGCACTTTGGGAGGCTGAGGTGCATGGAACATAAAGTCAGGAGATCGAGACTATCCTGGCTAACACGGTGAAACCTGTGTCTGCTAAAAAAAATACAAAAAATTAGCCGGGAGTGGTGGCGGGCGCGTGTAGTCCAAGCTACTCGCGAGGCTGAGACAGGAGAATGGCGTGAACTCGGGAGGCGGAGCTTGCGGTGAGCCGAGATCACGCCACTGCACTCCAGCCTAGGCAACAGAGCGAGACTCCGTCTCGAAGAAAGAAAAAAAAAAAAAGATTTTTATAAATAAAAGACCTTCGAGAGTAATAGATTTAGTATCTTTCATTAAGTGTTAAACTATATTTTTTCCTTTATTTTTAGATTTTATTCATCACATTAATGACACAGACACTATACTGAGTACCAATAATAGCAACCCTGGTAAGTAGTTTGGGATGTTGTTTGTTTCTTTACTCTCCACCTTGCTCCAAAAAGGATTTAAGGTAGAACATGTGACCTTATTTTAGGTAAATGATTAGTACAAAATTATTATGTTTACTGAGCTGCTACTAAATTGTTGGTAGTTAGTGTGTTTTTAAAAAAAGAACCTCCAAAAAGGCTGTGTTAATGTAACCAGGCAATAGGTTGTATTAATGTAAGCTAGGCGACATTTAGTTCATATTATACAACTCACAATTTTATCTACAGTATCCATATTTGCCTGTGAATAATCAATATTTTCAAGAACCTATATCACTATTAATTATGTCAGATGTCTAGAAGCGTAGTTCTCAGTTAACTTAGTTTTAGAGATCTGTTGTTTTAGTTATTAATATATAGGCTATACAAATTTGTAACCTGTAAAAGAATTCATTTTCTAGTAATAAACAGAGGTTAGTAACTAAATATGGAAAAACAAATTGAAGCTTTGGCTCCAAAAGAAATTGATTTCTTAGAAATTTTTCTTTATTTTTAAAAAATAAACCATTGTGGCCAATGGGTTTAATCCAATATGACAGTTACAGGGAAAGTGAATATAAACGTTAATATAACTTTGGTAACAGTTATGCTGTTAAACTTGAACATCACCTAAAGCTTTATGTATTTAGATTTCAGGGATACTAAACTGATGTCATGTTGATGGAGATGCACATTGATCACTAAGAGGATAATTCATTAAACACATTTATTAAACCTACTATGTGTCAGGAACTATTGTAGGCTCTGGGGATATAATAATGAACAGACAAAAATCCCTCCTCTCATGAAGTTTACATTCCAGTGTTTGCTACTCATTATCTTACTTTTCCCCCTAATTAAACCTGTCTTTTGTTAATGCTAGAAAATGAGTGAGCAAAGTACTAGCTTTTATTCCTGTGGACACACACACGTATACCTTTGAATTATACTAAAATCTCTTGTGCCCTATCCCTTACCTCAGAATTTTCAAAGAATCAAATAACATCCTTGTATTTAAAAAGAAAATTATTTTACTGTACCTATTCTAATATTAATTGATGAAACTAGTTTACTAATATCTAAAGTTAATAGTACTTCTCCAGTAGGGAGTCAGTTCATCATTAAGGTAATAAATATTAATATCACAGTCACATTGATGATTTAGAGAACACCATCAGCAAAGTCAGTTTACTTTATATAGTGATATCTTATATCCAGCACTTCTTGATTTCTCTGCTAATGTTTATTTTGAACAGTGTAGTAAACAGTGAGAGTATGAAACAATCCATTTCAGTTAATGTAAAAAATTTTAGCTACTGGGCATAGTGGCTCATGCTTTTAATTTTAACACTTTGAGAGGCCGAGGCAGGAGGATTGCTTGAGCCCAGGACTTTGACATCAGCCTGGGCAACATAGCAAGACACTGTCTCTACAAAAAAAAAAAATTAATTAGCTGGCCATAGTGGCATGTGCCTGCATTCCGAGCTACTCGGGAGGCTGAGGCAGGAGGATCACTTGAGCCTGAGGGGTTGAGGCTACAGTGAGCCATAGTTAACGCCACTGCCCTCCAGCCTGAGTGACAGAGTGAGACCCTGTCTCAAAAAAATAAATAAATAAATTACAGCTAACATTTATTGAATGCCTATGTGCAGGCATTACATTAAATGTTTTACGGCAACCCTAAGTGGTAGATACTGTCAACTCCATTTTCCAGGTGAAGAGACCAGGGAACATAGTAGTTAATTTCATCCAAGGACGCCTAAATATTAAGTGACAGAGTTGGGAATTCATTATTCAGTCAGTTAACTTCCATCCACAGCCTGTGCTCTTTTTTTTTTTTTTAAAAAGATGAGCTCTCTCTCTGTTGCCTAGGTTGGCCTATAGTGGCATGATCATAGCTCACTGCAACCTGGTACTCCTGGGTTTCAGCAATCCTCCCACCTCCACCGCCCGAGTAACTGGAACTACAGTTACACATCCCATCCAGCAAAATTTTGTTATTCTTGTAGAGACAGGGTTGCCATGTTTTCTAGGCTAGTCTCAAACTCCTCGCCTCAAGTGATCCTCCTGCCTCAGCCTCCCAAAGTGCTAGGATTAGAGGAATGAGCCACTGCGCCATAGTCTGTGCTTTTAACCACTATAATTAGCACAAGAAAATTTCTGTCCAGAGCATAGAAGAAAAAAAGCACACTAAAATGTTGACTAAGAAGGAGAAAGAAAATTAAATGTTTGGCTTTGTGGCATGCCAAATAATGGATAGACAATAAAATTAAAAATAGAACTGACAATGAATATTCTTTCTCTTTGACAAATGATGAGTATAAGGGTTACTTAAGATGAGTATTTTCTATCTGCATTAAGAGTTCTTTACGAAGAACTGATTATTAGCAAAAACTCTATTGTGACATTAGAAACACAATGAGAATGGCTGGTATTCTGTCTGATAACAGAAGAAATTGCCACTTGTAGATCAGTATGTAAGAAACATACATTTAGGCCAGGCACAGTGGCTCAGGCCTATAATCCCAGCACTTTGGGAGGCCGAGGCGGGCAGACCACGAGGTCAAGAGTTGGAGACCAGCTTGGCCAGCATGGTGAAACCCTGTCTCTACTAAAAATACAAAAATTAGCCCGCCATGGTGGCATGCACCTGTAATCCCAGCTTCTCAGGAGGCTGAGGTAGGAGAATCACTTGACCCCAGGAGGTGGAGGTTGCAGTGAGCCGAGATTGCACCACTGCACTCCAGCCTGGGTGACACAGCGAGACTCCATCTCAAAAAAAAAAAAAAAAAAAAAAACATACATTTTACTGATTTCCCAGCTGTCTGGATATCATCTGGACTCTTAGGCTTCTATCAAATGTGATCAACTTCCAGAATCATTTTGGATTGTTGAGATTCAAGATTCTTGCATTTTTATCAGTGATTATACCATGGCAGCTGTTTCAATGATGTTTGCTTTTTATTCCAAACCCATAGATTTTTGTTTGCTGTTAAAAGAAACCTGCTCTTTGACCTTTGTATGGGTTATTAGTGTAATAAACAGTCACCCTAAATGATATTTTTTATATTATTGTGTAAATAAGACCAAACACCATCTAGCCCAGTATTTTCTCTCTGGCAGTGGAACCAAGGGATATTTGGTGGGATATTTTTATAGTTTCTAGTAGAGTTTAAAGATAATATCTCAGGGCTGGTCACGGTAGCTCACGCCTGTAATGCCAGCACTTTGGGAAGCCAAAGTGGGTGGATCACCTGAGGTCAGGAGTTCGAGACCAGCCTGAGCAACGTGGCGAAATGCCCTCTCTACTAAAAATACAAAAATTAGCTGGGCATGGTGATGTGTGCCTGTAGTTACAGCTACTTGAGAGGCTGAGACAAGAGAATCGCTTGAATCCAGGAGGCGGAGGTTGCAGTGAGCCAACATCACGCCACTGTACTCTAGCCTGGGCGACAGATCGAGACTCTGTCTCAAAAAATAAATAAATAAAAATAAAGATAATATCTCAGAAATTTTAAAGATTCCCTCACTTTTACTTATTTTTAGGTGAAGGAGTACTAATATTCTTAAAATTAACCCTCTATTTTTTCCAGAAAGGAGACATTTAGGCTCCTGGAAAAAGTTGAGGTTGGTAGAGCAAGTGTCTGTCTCTAGAGGCAGTCATTTTCTGTTTTTTTGTTTTTTCGTTTTTTGTTTTTTGGTTTTTTTTTTTTTGGTCATCTTCTCTAATCTGGTACTTTCCTATTGCAGTGATTTGTCCAAGTGCCGGGAGTGGAGGCCATCCTGACAACAGCTCTATGATTTTCTATGCCAATGACACAGGAGCCCAACAGTTTGAAAAGTGGTGGGATAAGTCCAGGACAGTGCCCTTTTATCTTGTAGGGCTCCTCCTTCCACTGCTCAATTTCAAATCTCCTTCATTTTTTTCAAAATTTAATATCCTAGGTAAGTAGTACCGCTGAATTATGGAGACTTTGTGTAATAGAATACATGGTGGAGTCTAGGGAAATATGGTCTGATTGGGGAGTTACCTTCTAAGCCTGTTCATCTGTGTTTAATTTGTTCATTCGTTTTTGTTTTGTTTTTTTCTTTTTCTTTTTCTTTTTTTTTTTTTTTTTTTTTTTTTGAGACGGAGTCTCGCGCTGTGTCACCCAGGCTGGAGTGCAGTGGCGCGATCTCGGCTCACTGCAAGCTCCGCCTCCCAGGTTCACCGCCATTCTCCTGCCTCAGCCTCCGAGTAGCTGGGACTACAGCACCGCCACCACGCCCGGCTAGTTTTTTGTATTTTTAGTAGAGACGGGGTTTCACCCATGTTAGCCAGGATGGTCTCCGATCTCCTGACCTCATGATCCACCCGCCTCGGCCTCCAAAGTGCTGGGATTACAGCTTGAGCCACCCGGCGCACAGCCTTTCTTTTTTTTTTTTTGAGACGGAGTTTCGCTCTTGTTGCCAGGGTGGGAGTGCAATGGCCCAGTCTCGGCTCACTGCACCTCTGCCTCCAGGGTTCAACAATTCTTGTGCCTCAGCCTCCAAGTAGGTGGGATTACAGGTTGTGCCACCACGCCCGCAGCTAATTTTGTATTTTTAGTAGAGGTGGTGGTCATCATGTTCTCCAGGCTGGTCTTGAACCCCTGACCTTAGGTGATTGACCTGCCTCGGCCTCCCAAAGTGCTGGGATTACAGGTGTGAGCTACCGTGCCTGGCAAGTTGTTCATTCTTATGATAACCTGATTTTTTCTATTTTTTTATGGAGTTTGGCATGGAAAAAAGTGTAGATGACCAGTTTTGGTTTGGTTGTGATTTTTTTTTTTTTTTTTTTTTGAGACACGAATTATTTGGTTTCTCATTCTAAACTTACTGAACAGTTCTTCCTCATTTCCTCTGAGGATACAACTAGATGAAATAGATGAATATTTCAGGAGGAGAGATCCAAATTGGATCTTATAGGAATTCTCAATTCTAACGGTTGGAAACAGAACTTACTAAGGAAGGTTATAGAATGTTTTTTCCTACAGTCTCTAAGAGTATTATGCAGGATTGTCACCTGACTTTGAACCTGGGAAATCATTCTCTATGTCAGGCTTCTTAGGTTTATTCTGCTTTTGCTCTCTTCCTCAGTGCTTTTTTTTTTTTCTTAGAACACTATTGCCTTCTTTAAGGAACAGACCTCTTTCTGTGAGCCCTGCTTTTCAAAAACCACTAAACGAATGTTTTTACTCCACTTAAAATGGCAAAAGGGGCCAGATGCAGTGGCTCACACCTGTAATCCCAACACTTTGGGAGGTCAGGGCAGGTGGATCACAAGGTCAGGAGTTCAAGACCAGCTTGGCCAAGATGGTGAAACCCCATCTCTATTAAAAATACAAAAATTAGTCGGGCGTGGTGGCAGGTGCCTGTAATCCCAGCTACTTGGAAGGCTAAGGCAGAGAATTGCTTGAACCCAGGAGGTGGAGGTTGCAGTGAGCTGAGATCACACCACTGTACTCCAGCCTGGGTGACAGAACAAGACTGTGTCTCAAAAAAAAAAAAAAAAAAAGATGGCAAAAGGAACCTCCCAGTGAAAGTTCAGATCTGGCTAACTAAAGACAAGGATATCATTCATAAGGAATTGATAACTCCACATAAACCATACAATTTCACCTCCTCCCTGTGGATGTGATCTTTGGCAGGCAATCTAGAGCATAAAATAAATAGATAGGCCAGGTGCGGTAGCTCACACCTGTAATCCTAGCACTTTGGGAAGCTGAGGCAGGTGGATAACCTGAGGTCAGGAGTTCGAGATCAACCTGACCAACATGGAGAAACCTTGTCTCTACTAAAAATACAAACTTAGCCAGGCGTGGTGGCGCATGCCTGTAATCCCAGCTACTCGGGAGGCTGAGGCAGGAGAATTGCTTAAACCCAGGAGGCGGAGGTTGCAGTGAGCCGAGATCATGCCATTAGGCAACAAGAGTGAAAACTCTGTCTCAATAAGTAAATAAATAAATAACCCATCATATCAAGGAACAAGGCAGTGGCTTCTAGGTTTCCAGAAGACCAAAGGAAAAGTTAAAATTATTTCTCTTTGCCTGTCTGTCTCAGGTACAGAATTCACTGTAAGCTGCCATAGACACACAGAAGATGGAGAGTTGTGGTTATATAAGCTCTGGCGTCTTGTTTTCATCCTTTATGAATCAGCTAATCTCCAAACCCACAGTACTGCTTATATCACTCATTCGTGGTTTCCTGATTTGCTTGCCAACTTTTCTATGAAACAGATCTTTTAAAATAATATAAACTTATAGAAGGATTTGCTCAACTGGGCACAACAATCACCAGACTTCCAACCAGCTTGATTGTTGATTCTCCAGCTCCTTAAGGATATTCTGCTTTTGTTCTTTTCGTTGGTAGTTTCCCTTTCTCTTAAAACCATAGCTTCATTAGAGGAATTAGCATCTAAGGCCTTCCTGAGTTTTCTGACTCTACTCCATAATGACTAGACTTAATTTCTTAAAAGGAATAATCTTCTGCCTTCTACACTACTAAAAAATTCTGAATGCCCATTTTACCCTGTATATAATACCTGAGAATGGAGTCTGGAATCTCCGTCTAGCAAGCAGTGCTACCCAGTCAAAACCTCATCTAGATACTAGATCACGATTGTTCATGTATTTTGGCTTCTCACCTTTCTCAAATATGCTTTTGATCCACGTTCACTGCTTTTTTTTCTTTACCTTCTTACCATCTCACATTAAATACTGTGACAGACTCTCTCTAACACTTCCAATTCAAAGAATAAAAGTTAGTTTTATCCTGTGTAATCCTACAATTTTATAGTGGACTCTCTGCTTGTATCTTCTGCTTAAACTCAACTCATAAGTAAATGAAGCAGTTTTGCATTCAGCAATGTATGAGCTATCTTCATCAGATTCTTCTTTTCTTATTCTTTTTTTTTTTTTCCTTGGAGATGGAGTCTTGCTCTGTCGCCCAGGCTGGAGTGCAGTGGTGCAATCTTGGCTCACTGCAACCTCTGCTTCTCGAGTTCAAGTGATTCTCCTGTCTCAGCCTTCCGAATAGTTGGGATTATAGGCATGTGCCATCACACCTGGCTAACTTTTGTATTTTTAGTAGAGATGAAGTTTCGCCATGTTGGCCAGGCTGGTCTCGAACTCCTGACCTCAGGTGATCTGCCCACCTCGGCCTCCCAAAGTGCTGGGATTACGGGTGTCAGCCACCACACCCAACCCGTCTGGTTCTTGTTAGGCCTACTACATAGAGTTTTTTTGTTCTTTTTCTGGCAACTCCCTCAGCTTGTTTCTAGTCTTTAGATCCCAGCTGGGTGTTAGTGGAGATAATCAATGCAGGTAACAGTTTCCCACACTTTGCTGAGCCTATGAAAACAATGCTTGATTTTAAAATAATCTGTAAAACACACAAAGATAATAAATGGTTTCTGAATTTTTTCCTCACAGGCACAGTATCTGTCCTTTATTTGATTTTCCTTGTCACCTTTAAGGCTGTTCGCTTGGGATTTCATTTGGAATTTCATTGGTTTATACCAACAGAATTTTTTGTACCAGGTGAGCTGTTTTGGCAAAATAATAAATTACAATAATGTGATCTTAAGTTAACCATTGTTATGCTATTCTAAAACAAGTAATGATCTTTTTTATGCTGGGCATTTTTATAAATGCTATTAAGTTAAAAATAGTACTACAATTGAGATTATTTTGAGTTTCCTGCGGTTAGTGGTAACCAGGGCCCTTTGTCATTTCTACTTGTTAGTTGAAGTTCATTTAAGTTATAGTGCACTAATACTTGCACTTTCTGTGTTTTTCATCCAGCCTTTCTGATGGGTATATAATGTGGTATTACACTGTGGTTTTGTGTTTTTTAATTAAAAATTTTTGTTGACATAAAATAGTTGTACATATTTAGGGGGATACATAGGATACTTTAATACCTCTATGCAGTGTGTAGTGTTCAAATCAGGGTAATTGGGATATCCATCACCTCAAACATTTATCTTTTTGTTGGGAACATACAATGTGGTTTTAATTTGCATTTCTGTAATGATCAGTGGAGTTAGCAACTTTTCATATGTTTGTTGGCCATTTGGATTTCATCTTTTCTGAAGTGTTTCTTCTATCATTCTATTTAACTGTCTGTTTTTTTATATTGATTTATAGGATTTATTTATACATTCCAAATATGAATCCTTTCTCAGATATGTGTAATGCAATTATCTTCTTCCTGCTTACATCCTTTCTTGATACGCCTTTTCAAAGGAATAAAGTAAGCAGCAGAAGTTTGGAGCTTCTTTAAAACCATTTTGTGAAGGAGTCTATTATTTAATGTATTATGTAATAATCATGGCATAAATGTGTTCTTTAAAAAAGTGTATTTTCCACACAAAAACTTGTACATGCATGTTTATAGCAGCATTATTCATAATAGCCAAAAGTGGAAACGGCCCAGTGTCTATCACTAATGAATGGATAAATAAAATGTAGTATATCTTTCTTTTTTCTTTTGAGACAGAGTCTCACTCTGTTGCCCAGGCTTGAGTGTAGTGGCGCAATCTCAACTCACTGCAACTTCCCCCTCCCAGTTCAAGTGATTCTCCTGCCTCAGCCTCCTGAGTAGCTGGGATTACAGGCATGCACCACCATGCCCAGCTAATTTTGTATTTTTAGTAGAGGCAGGGTTTCACCATGTTGGCCAGGCTGACCTCAGGTGATCTGCCTGCCTCAGCCTCCCAAAGTGCTGGGATTACAGTCGTGAGCCACCGCGCCTGGCCAAAATGTGGTATATCTGTACAATGGGATATTATTTGGCAATAGAAAAGGAATGAAGTGCTGTGGTTATGGTTGTACAACTCTGTGAATACACTGTTCAATTAAAAACTAGTTGTGCACTTTAAATGGGTGAAACATGAATTTTATTTCAATAGTGCTGTTAAAAAGAGTCTCAGGTTTTCAAGAAATTTTCTCAAAAAGATAGCTTTTGGTAGTTAATGGGAAAAAGCTGACTATTTACCCACTGTAATACGACAAGTTAGAAACCTAACAGTGGCCTTACTTGCCTTAATTAGAAAAGATAGAAAAGGATGAAATAACAAATTACTTTACAGGGTATCTTAACTAAGTAATAGAATTGATTACTCTGAGAGACAGGAAATTCAGCTAAATTAAAAAGAATGTGTTGAAAACTAATTTTATTTAGATTTATTTATTTTATTTTAGAGCTAGTGCTTGATTCTTAATTGTTTTCTCTTCTTTTTCTAAAATAATATAGCAGAATCAGTGGATTTTTTATACATTTCTACTTTTTACACTAAGGAATCCCCTGAGATGGGTTTGCCTAGACCAGCAGTATTTTCCATTAAATCATGGTTTTATTCTACATAAAATCAATTTTTTTCCTTCTATTAGCAGTCCTCAATACAGAAATTGGCAGTGCTTTTGCAGTGTTATTTTATTCTCACTTTAAAGTAGCTTTGTGTTTATTGCAGAACATTTAGAGATTATAGGTAAGTGGTTAATTTAAAATAAATTGCATAACTTGATATAACCACTATTTATATTTTTGTGGATACTCCCCCCCTCCCCCAGTCTTTTTTCTTTGCATGCACACATCTATACACACACATATATTTTAGAAGTAAAAGTAAGCTGGGCACAGTGGCTCATGCCTGTAATCCCAGCACTTTGGGAGGTTGTGGTGGGAGTTTTACTTGAGCCCAGGAGTTCAAGACCAGCCTGGACAACATGGCGAGACCCTGTCTCTACAAAAAAAAAAAAAAAAAATTCTTTTAAACTTAGCTGGCTGTGGTGGCATGCACCTATAATCCTAGCTGCCAGGGAAGCTGAGACAGGAAGATCACTTGAGCCCAGAAAGTTGGGGCTGTGGTCAGCCGTGTTTGTGCCACTGCATTCCAGCCTGGGTAACAGAGTGAGAACCTATCTCAAAAAGAATAAAACAATAAAAAGTAAAATCACAGTATGTATGCTATTTCAATCATAGGGAAAAAAAGAAACTGCCTCTACAACATAATTTTTGATACTGTATACCACTGCACAACTGTATCTCAATTTAATGAATCCCCTGTAGGTGGACATTTATTTCTATTATTTTTAAATAATGTTTCTTAGATTTGTCAGTGAAGAATGTTAAATGACCAGTTTGCCCTTTCATAATTCCTTTTCTAGAGGTAATTTTCTGGCAAATTCAGGTATTAAAAAAATGAAAGACTTTAAAGTGAGACAGAGCCTAAATTTGAATCCTGCCCTTCCCCATACCAATTATATGACCTCAAATAGGAATAATTGATACAAAGCGCCTGCACAGAGTATACTTTTTTTTTTTTTTGAGATGGAGTTTTGCTCTTTCACCCAGGCCGCAATGCAATGGCACGATCTCGGCTTACTACAGCCTCTGCCTCCCAGGTTCAAGCGATTCCCCTGCCTCAGCCTCCCAAGTAGCTGAGATTACAGGCTGCTGCCACCACGCTCAGCTAATTTTTGTATTTTTAGTAGAGACAAGGTTTCACCGTGTTGGCCAGGCTGGTCTCAAACTCCTTACCTCAGGTGACCCGCCCACCTTGGCCTCCCAAAGTATTGGGATTACAGGTGTGAGCCACCACACCCAGCCAGAGCATACTTTTTTTTTCCCCCTTTTGAGTGCTTTGCCCAAGTATAATGCTGGCCTTGAGGAACTTTTTAAAGACATTTTAATATTCTCATTCCCCGGATAAAACAGTGACAACTGATTTTTAGTAATCAACTGTTGGCTACCACTACTCATTTTCTAACTGTCAGTTTTAATGTTTTTGTTTTTATTTTTCTCCTAGAGATAAGATTTCAGTTTCCACAGCTGACTGGAGTGCTTACCCTTGCTTTTTTTATTCATAATTGTATCATCACACTCTTGAAGAACAACAAGAAACAAGAAAACAATGTGAGTAATTATCTTTGGAATTGACTTTTGTGTCTCCTGAGAATAAACTTTCTAAGTCAGTATTTGAGCCACTTTATATTTGGGGTACAATTAGGCAATTTTGTCTCAAGATCTTAATTTTTAAACTTAAACCATAGAGCAGTGGTCAGCAAATTTTTCTATAAAGGTTCAGATGATAAATATTTCAGGCCTTGTAGGCCATATGGTTTTTGTTCCAGCTACCCAACTCTGCTGTTAAGTTATGAAAGCAGCCATAGATAATACATAAACAAATGGGTGATGGCATTGTTTCAATGAAACTGTTCACAAAAACAGACATCAGACAAGATTTGGCCCGTGAGTCATAGTTCGCCGGTGCCTGCCATAGAGTAACCACTGAAAAAATAGAGGTATAGCTAATAAGCCATTAATGGTGGTAAAATCTTTTAAAGATACCCTAGCTATGGTGACTCAGGCCTATAATACCAGCACTTTGGGAGTCTGAGGCAGGAAGATCACTTGAGCCCAGGAATTTGAGACCAGCCTGGGCAACATGGTTAGACCCTGTCTCTACAGAAAAAATTAGCCCAGTTTGGTAGCACATGCCTATAGTCCCAGCTACTTGGGAGGCTGAGGCAGCAGGATTGCTTAAGCCCAGGAAGCCAAGTCTGTGGTGAACTGTGTTCATGTCACAGCACTCTAGTCTGGTCAACAGAGTGAAACCTCATCTTAAAAAAAAAAAAAAATGCAGCTGGGCACAGTGGCTCACGCCTGTAATCCCAGCACTTCAGGAGGCCAAGGCAGGTGGATCCCGAGGTCAAGAGTTCAAGACCAGCCTGGCCAAGACGGTGAAACCCCATCTCTACTAAAAATACAAAAATTAGTCGGGCGTGGTGGTAGACACCTAAAATCCCAGCAACTCAGGAAGCTGGGACAGAGAATTGCTTGAACCTGGGAGATGGAGGTTGCAGTGAGCCAAGATCGCCACTGCACTTCAGCCTGGGCAACAGATCCAGACTCCATCTCAAAAAAACAAACAAAATATACCTGATCCAAAAGAAGCCATGGAAAAGGAACCAAAGAATAGATGTGACAAATAGAAAACAAATAGCAACATAGTAAGTTTAAACCCATTGTGTTGATAATTACATTTAAAGACACTGCAGTTAAAAGATTAAAAGAGGTTGGGTACAGCGGCTCACACCTGTAATCCCACCACTTTGAGAGGCTGAGGCAGGCGGATAACTTAAGGCCAGGTGTTTGAGACTAGCCTGGCCAACATGGTGAAACCCTGTCTCTACTAAAAATACAAAAATTAGCCAGGCATGGTGGTGTGCACCTGTCATCCCAGCTACTCAGGAGGCTGAGGCGGGAAATCGCTTGAACCCAAGGGGTGGAAGTTGCAGAGAGCGGAGATCATGCCACTGCACTCCAGCCTGGGCAACAGAGCGAGACTCTATCTCAAATAAATAACTTAATTAATTAAAAGAGATTTTCAGACTTGTTAAAACACAAAGCCTAACTATATGTTGTCTACAAGGAATTTATATTAAACATAAAGATATGCCATGCAAATATTAAACATAAGAAAGCTGGAGTGGCCAAATTAATATCAGACAAAATAGACTTTAGAACTGGGAGTATTGCCAAAGATAAAGAGGAACCTTATATAATGATCTGTAGGGATCAATTCATCAAGAAGACATAATAATCCTAAATGTATATGCACCCAGTGACAGAGCTTCAAAATAAATGAGTTAACAGTTGCCAAACTGAAAAGAGAAGTAGACAAATCCACAATTGTAATTGGACATTTTATCACCCTCCTTCAAGTAACTGATAGAACAAATAGATGAAAATAAGAAAATAAGTAAGGAAATAGAGGAAGCATGAAAAACACTGTCAACCTACTTAATCTAATATGTATTTACAAAAAGTCTTCTCTCAACTGCGGAATGCACATTCTTCTTAAATACATAAGAACATTTTCCAAGATAGACTATATGCTGTGTCATAAAACAATTCTCAATACGTGTGAAAGGATTTAAGTCATACAGAGTATGTTCTGTAAACATAATGAAGATACAAATCAATAACAGAAAGAAATTTGGGAAATTCACAAATTGTGGAAATTGAACAGCATGCTCTTAAATAACCAATGGGTCAAAGAAGAAATCACAAGAAAAATCAGAAATACTTTGAGTTTACTTAAAGCGTGCTTATAGGGAAATGTATAGCTGTAAACACCTACACTAAAAATGAAGATCTCAAAAACCTAACTTTCTACCTTAGACAATAGAAAAAGTAAAGCAAACTAAACCCAAGGCAAACAGAAGTTAACCAGTTACTTGTTGGCTTGTCTGCAGATTTTGTGGTCAATTTAACAGCTTCTGACCTTGTAAACAAAAGTCATAATGAAGTTCTGATAGAGGTCTATACAGTTGTTACTGAAATGCAGGAGAAGGAAGGATTTGCTGTGCCTGGAGATTCTGAAAAGGCTTTGAGTAAGGGGTAATGTTTGGCAGTCATTAAGAAGGCAAAAACCTTTCTAAGTAGAGGAAGTAAGCTCTCTAAAGCAAAAATATAAATTTAACTTTTCCATCTTCATCTTTACTGACCATACATGTAGCATGTTACCTGTAAATGGAGTTGGACTTGAGTCAATCTGGATTTTTCATACTTCCTATTTGGTGAACTTACCTCAAATTTCATTTTTGTCATATGTAAAATGATAGCTACCTATCAGGGTTGTGATGTTAACATGATCTAACATACAACAGAGGCTGGAAATTTTTAGTATTTTTACCCCTCTTACCTTTTCTTTCCTGATATTTACAGTCTGTTCTTGTAAGCCAAGTTAGCCCAAGTGCCCTAGAAACTCATGTTGTTAAGTAGAATTCTCATATATTGGATGATCCTATCCATAAGGCTGTGTTTCTCAAACTTTACCACCAAAGTCTCCCTAATAACAGAACAACCTCGTGTACCTAGAAATCTGGGAAAGACAAACACAATCTTACTGAAGTGTCATGTTTTATCTTAAACATTTACACATATTTTTATCGTGCTCATTATTTGTTTGTCTTACTAGAAAACAGTCTCAGGCTGGGCACGGTGACTCACGCCTGTAATCCTAGCACCTTGGGAGGCCAAGGCAGGCGGATCACAAGGTCAGGAGATTGAGACCATCCTGGCTAACACAGTGAAACCCCGTCTCTACTAAAAATACAAAAAATTAGCCGGGTGTGGTGGCACGCGCCTGTAGTACCCACTACTCGGGAGGCTGAGGCAGGAGAATCGCTTGAACCCGGGAGGTGGAGGTTGTGGTGAGCCGAGATCGCGTCACTGCACGCCAGCCTGGACGACAGAGTGAGACTCCACCTCAAAAAAGAAAAGGGAAAGAGGAGGGGCTCAAAATGAGTTAAATTACAGGCAGTTTTTATGTTGCATGGTTCTTACATGCACCAGTTTCATTAATCTGGTTTAGTTAAAATACATCAGTTCCTCCTAACAACATTTGTTCAAACGTCAGTTACCACAGAATTTTATTTTTTTTTTCAGCCTTTTCTTGCTTTTTATTTACAGTTTGTGTTCAATGCAAATCAATTCCATAACATAAGAAGTTACTATGAATCAAAGCATAAATACACAAACACAATATACAGTCCAAAATAGATGTACAGCATTCTGGAATAAAGCAAAAGAGTATTCATTCACATACACAGTAGCTTCAGATGTGTTTAATCTGTTTGTTCCCATGTAATTTTCTAAAGATGGAAAAAAATGACTTTGGTCATCAAGACTACTGTGGCCATATTAGATTCCTGGAACATCTAAGCATCAGGGTGTGACCATGCGAACAAAAGACTTCGGCAAGTGTCTATTTTTAAAAAGGTTTCTGTGTGTCGAGGCAGTTGTGAAAGATTTACTGCAGAATCAAGCCCACTTTTAGGCTTAGGACCAGGTTCTAACTATCTAAAAATATTGACTGATAACAAAAAGTGTTCCAAATGTGGCTATTCTGATCCATAATTGTTTTTTAAAGAAAAAAAAGTATATACAGAAAGACTATAAAAGTTTTTGTGAATTTAATGCAAATTAGCTTCCAGACTTCACTTCCCAAATACTTGATTTATAGTTTTGACTCCTTTACATCTTTGCCTTTTTAATTTCAAGATTTGCAGTTTTGCCTTCAAAACAGATCTTTTTTTTTAATTGTGAAAAGTATTCAACATATACAGAAATAAAAAGCATTTTGACGGCTGGGCACGGGGGCTCAAGCCTATAATCCCAGCACTTTGAGAGGCCGAGGCAGGCGGATCACCTGAGGTCAGGAGTTCGAAACCAGCCTGGGCAACATGGTGAACCCCTGTCTCCAGTAAAATTACAAAAATTAGCCGGGCATGGTGGCAGGTGCCTGTAATCCCAGCTACTTGGGAGGCTGAGGCAGGAGAAACGCTTGAACCCGGAAGGCAGAGGGTTGCACTGAGCTGAGATTGCGCCACTGCACTCCAGCCTGGGTGACAAAGTGAGACTCCATCTAAAAAAAAAATAATAATAATAATAAAAAGTATTTTGAAATTAGTCACAGTCAATGCAGTTCTACTCTTTGGAATCTGTTTAGCTAAATGAATATAGCACTCTTGTTGAACGGAAATAGGTGATAGGAAATGCCTACCATTTGACTATATGGATAATCAAGAGTTGCTCAGAATGCTTGGACCTGGGGGTAGATTCTCATTCATCATTGCCCTGGCACATGTCAATTACTACATAAAAGGTCAAATGCAATGTCAAATCCAAAGCCTCAAGAGGAAAGTAAGTTCAGTTCCCAAGAGAACAGCGATAGCTCAACAATGTAAAACTTCATCTAGAGTATATAGGCATTAAATTAGTGCTGTCGAAACAATACATTGAGGAATTACAGTAACACCTGGAAGTTCCTTCTAATGTACATATAAATAGAATCATGGAAGCTTTTTATATTACCTGTTTTATGGCCTTATAGAATTAATGAACCA